GCCGTGACAGGACAGGCAGAGAGTTCACAAATGGATACTACTGACACCTCTGGAGGTTCTGCAGCGAATGCCGCCACCTCTGGAGGTTCTACAGTAATACCAGCAGGAAACAGGGAGAGTTCATTAATGTTCCGTTTAACCGTATCGGTACAGAGTTCAGCAACGTTCCCTTCGACCGTGACAGGACGAGCTGAAAGTGCATTGCTGTGCGCCACCACCATACCAGGAGCCGAAGCGAGCGCCGCCGCCTCGGGAGGTTCTGCAGCCTCAGCCGCCACCTCTGGAGGACCTGGAGAGAGCACCACCATCTCAGGAGGTTCAGTGGTTGTGTACGCAGCCCAAACACACCAAATGCGATCCCCATCAAGGGGAGCGCTTCAGACAGGGGAATCAGTTGAGGAACAGTAGGGCTAAAATGAGTGGGTTTGGGGATACCAGCTGCGCATGCAGACACCAGTGGTGCATCCCTCACACTGGATACCAGACTGGGATACCGAAGGACTGACCTTGATAATCTGGGTGCAACAGACAGGACGTGACGTGACTCTGGATGATCAGATGTGAAGTGACATGACTCTGGATGATCAGCTGTGAGGTGACGTGACTCTGGATGATCAGCTGTGAGGTGACGTGACTCTGGATGATCAGCTGTGAGGTGACGTGACTCTGGATGATCAGCTGTGAGGTGACGTGACTCTGGAGGATCAGCTGAGACGTGACGAAACTCTGGACAAACAGCTGAGACGTGACGAGGCTCTGGATGAACAGCTGAGACGTGACGAGGCTCTGCCAGATCAGCTGAGACTTGACTAGACTCATGAAGATCAGCTTTGACTTGACCTGCCTCACGAAGAACAGCTGTGACTTGACTTGCCTCATGAAGATCAGCTGTGACTTGACTTGACTCATGAAGATCAGCTGTGACTTGACCAGACTCATAATAATAGACTGTGACTCGATTTGACTCATGACGATCAACTGTGACTAGACTCGACTCAGGAAGATCAACTGTGACTAGACTTGACTCACGTTTGGCAGCTGTGACATAACGGGGTGCTGTTGTGTCCGCAATTTTGCGATCGGGCTCCGCTGTCACCGCCATCTTGTGAGCGTGTTCTAGAGCGGCCGCCATAAAACGAGTGAATTCGGGGTCGCGTTTCTCCGCGATATCCACAGTGAACCCTGAACCAATAGACAATAGGGCATAGTCCATAAAATCACGTAGAGACGAGCAAGGACCCTCATAGATCACTCGTGATTTTACTGGCTGGTTAAGGCCACTACAAAAGAAGTCAATTAAAAGGCAGTCCGGTAATTCTGAGCCTGTAGCTAAAGCCAAATATTCCGTGATATACCCTTCCAGAGATCGTGTGCCCTGTTTAAGGGCTAACAATATTCTCGCCACATCCATACCTGGCCAATGTCCATCTGAGAAGCTGCTGGATCCTTGTATGGCCAAGTATTCTGTAACAGGGCTGACGAGACGTGAGACGTGCGGATCCATGTGCGAGCTTTATTTAGAACAGAAGAGGTCAGAAACACAGGCAGGGTCGAACAATGGCAAACAGGTATAATGAGGGCAAGACAGAAGAGTAATCAAAAACGGGAGTGGTCGATAAGTGGCTAACAATATCCAGAGGGCTTGACACGGGGGGTTATCCAATAACAATGCAAAGGTCCAGGCAGGGGCAAACAGTATCCGAACAGGGCAAGACGAGAGAGGTAATCCGAAGTAGACAGGCAATAATCAGAAGACGAGGACACAGACAAGGCAAGACTAGGCAAAGACTAACGAAAGGAAACCGGCTCCGTAGAGTAGCTATCGCTAAGAGAGTGATAAACGCATACAATACTCGGCAGTGGAATGGGATCAGAGTGAGAGTTAAATAGGGGATGTGTGAGTGATAACAGCTGTGTGCAATCAGTGCTGTGCAATCAACTGTGTGTGTGTCATCAGTGCAGTGGATGATGGGATATGTAGTCCAGGGTGATATGCAACAGTGTGTAGTGCGAGAGTCAATGAAATGGGAAGGGTGACCTCTGATGGCTAGCAGACGAAAGTTCATTGACCGGATTCGTGACAGTCACACTAAATATCAGACATATTCATAGCATTATGAAATATTAGTGTCCTTTCCACTATAATTACCGATTTAAAGTTGTGTAATCAGCCTCAGTGCAATCCCTTCTTTTTTTTCTAGAGCGACTATAGATGACGGGGAATGCCATTTTGGCAATGTATTGCTAAAATCTTGTGTTTTCAAACAGGCTAAAGGTTAACTGTAGGCTCGCAACTGGTGCAGCCACGCGCAGACCTTTCCTGAGGGAGCGTGAAATTAGCCATGGCATTCACAGGCCTTTCACACGGGATGAAGGCTCTTTTCCCACTGGAGCCCAGCTCCTCTCCTCACACACTGGAGACAAATACAAAACACACAATACCTGCATGTGCTGATCTCTGTCCTGTAGTTTTAGTTTTGTTTTTAAATTAGTCTACTTATTTGCATTTTCCATATTAATCAACTTTGGAACACATACATTATTTGGAACTGGTTCTGTATTTTTTAACATCTACATTCCTGACAGGTGCTTGTTCAGTTAAGTTTGTTTGGAACAGGTTTGGAGAAATCTAGCATTGCATCACTTGCTCAATGGATCCTCAGCAGTGAATGGGTGCCATCAGAATTTAAAAAATCACAATAATCCACAAGTAATCCACACAACTCCAGTCCATCAGTTAACATCTTGTGAAGAGAAAAGCTGTTGTTTTTGTAATAAACAAGTCCATCAGACATTTTTAATTTCTTAATGTAAGTTTGTTTCAATTTTCTTTTGAAAAATTCTAAACCATATTGTAGACTTTTTAATGATTAATTATGTAGTTTATTTCTCGCTAAAAACAAAAGATTCAGTCTCCCTTCACTCTTAATCCCTATTCATATCTGGGATGTGTTTTTATAGGCTAATTTATGCTTTAGTTTTGCAAAACTGTTGCACTTATAGTTGCTCTCTCTGAACCTACATTCTGCAAAGTGTAAAAATCCAAATCCCTGTGGCATGTTGTCAGACCCCTGATTGTCATAGAGGACTGTAGTGGCGGGTGGTCTGTGTCTGGCTCTTCCAGCATCCAGCCTGCTGAATTTGCAATTCCCTCCGGGCTCACGGCCCACTATGGCTGCCCAAACAGCAGTCTGACACAGCGAGCCTATGCCACAGCTTGAGCAGTCGCTGGGGAATCCTTTGCTTAATCTTTGCATTTGATGCCTCCCATTTTCTCAGTAATTTGTAATGACCATTCACAAAAATTAAACACTTTACCAGTAAAGGCTCAAAAAACTAATTTTTCTCCTGTTGCCTCTTCGTCTCTTACTTTCGGTTATGAGATGTTCGTTCGTTGAAAGTGTTCTATTAAAATAGTTCAGTTGTTGAAAGTCACTCATAATAAATGAGCTAATTTTACTCTGTCTTGTACATATGGAAATATTGTGTTATTTGTGACTGTGGGGACTTTATCATTGAACCCTGAGGTCGCATCTGGATATTGCTGATAAATGTATATGTAGATGATGTATGTAGATGTGCTCTGATCTCTCACTCTTTCCGACAGTGCGAGAGCTGCTCTCCTCTCTTCAATGACAAGCCATTCAGAGCTGGAGATCAGGTACAGGCGTACAACTGCCGCCCATGCCAGTGCTACGGCCACACCTCTTCCTGCCACTACAATGCCAGCCTGGATCCTCACCCTGAAGATCACTTTAGAGGAGGAGGAGGGGTGTGTGATAACTGTACACATCACACCACAGGTAACAGCATTTAATGTTTATTTTTTTTCAGAGTGTGCCTGTATTGTAATGTTCCTATTCGTGAAACAGTGAAAATCTGAAATGTAAAATTACATTTGGAAATGTATTGAAGCCTAAAGGTTTTAGAATTTTCTGCTTTAAATTTAAAACATGAATAATTTGTATAAAATATGTAAAATAAAATGTAAGTTTTCAATTTAACCTCTCTCATCACACTTATAATTTGGAGTGAACATTTGTATTTTAAAAATTATATAATAAAAATGTAAAATAGAATGATTTTACCCTAGGGGTTTCATATCTCAAATGTTTCAAATATTTGGCAAAAAGATGAGTAAAATTTAAGTAAATATTTTGTAAAAAAAAAAGTTTAAACATATGAATAGATTATCAGAATGTATTGGCTATCAGTCATCTTGCTCTTTAAATATCCCAGTCGATTATTGAAAAACCCATATTGGTCAACCTCTAAGACCTATTTCTGTCTCATGATTTATAAAATAATTTAGTATTGTTCCAATATGCCATATCTAACAGAAACCCAGATATTTTTCATTACAACAGCTGGAGAAATAGTAGTGATATAATGAAAGCATCAGAAAGCAGAGCAGAAAAAATTGAAATAATGCATCAGAGCGAAAACAGATGGGCATTTAATGAAGTAAATCAGGCCATGCTAACAGGTTCATTGTTTCATATGCTGGGCATCAGGCACAGTGGCAGGTAGGGATGAAAGAGGACATTAAAATGGACACCTTAGAAAATTACACATCTCTCTCCGGACTTCTCCCAAGACTGCAGTTTTTTAATTTGAAATCATAGTCCTATGATATGATTGAATTTTAATAGGTTGACATCAATTTCCCCCTCCCCCCACCCATTTCCTTCTACAAGCACACGCAGACTCTGTCTCTTTGGGTTTAAAGGCAGGAACTGTGAGCGGTGTCGGAGTCTGTTCTACAGGGAAGTGGGTGCACTCCTGTGGGCCAAGGACGTGTGCAAACCGTGTGAGTGCCACAGCACTGGGACCGTCAATGGCAGTTTAGAATGTGAAGCGGTAAGTGTGGACAGGTGTTTTGAGTTGATTAGCTGATTGGCATGTCACCATATTCTAATTTGTTGAGATAGTGAATTGGTGGGTTTTTGTTAAATGTGAGCCAAAATCATCACAATTAAAAGAACCAAAGACTTAAACTACTTCAGTCTGTGTGCATTGAATTTATTTAATACATGAGTTTCACAATTTGAGTTGAATTACTGAAATAAATGAACTCTTCCACGACAGTCTAATTTATTGAGATGCACCTGTATACATTCATCCACAAAAATGTATGCATTTCTCATAAATAAAAACCCACAGAAAACAAAGCAGATAATGAACCCCCATCATTCACCAAGTTTATCTCCTGCTATTTGCATATCTGTTTATTAAATATTTTGATTAATTTAATTTCTACAATAGTTTATAGAACTTAAAGCTCATTTTAACACATTATGCAGATTTTTTTGGCTTGTGATCTATATCTGATATTTGAGATATTAGATAAATTTCTGAATTTCAAGGTGCAACAGTAGCATCAAGGCAATATCTCTGCATATGCAAAGGCAGACATCTGAGGGTTTGATCTCCAGCTTTGTGATGGACCTGAGAATTGTAGATTCAGATAACGATATTGGCCAGTCCCTCTCGAGGGGGTTGCATTGATGTATTGGCTGAGGACTTTAGTATTCACAACAGCATTTATCAGTGGTTTGATCAGTAGGGAGTATGTAAAAGTGTCGTCATGAGAGCCTCTCTCGGGAGAATTCTCCCCCACCTTTTCCTTTATCTTAGCTACATGAAAGCCAGTTTGGAGGAACAGATACATGTCGATAGATATAGTGAATGACAAATTCAGAATCAATGGTTGGGTCAGCCCCGTGTTGGATTGTTACCTTATTTAAATGATCAGAATGATTATTTCCTCACATATGGAAATTACTTTACACTGTTGGTTGGGCAGTTTCTGTTTGGTGCTGGGTAGGGATTGAGCCTTCTTGGCTCATGGTTGGAATTTATGTAGCTTATGTTTTATGTTTTATCCTATTAACATTATTGATATATGATTCAAGATTTGATAGTATTTTTCTGATGCAGATTTTTTTCTTTTCTATTAAGTCATGCAAAAAAGCTTTCGTTTATTCCAGTAAATATTTTGTATGAACTCTGGTGACATTTAGTGAGACTACACTGAATATTTGTAAATAATGTAATAATGTAATTTTTACTACTACTACTGCTATTTTATTATGTTATGTTATGTTATATTATTGGTTGATTTATTAACTTTTCAATCAGCACTTAAAGGGATAGTTCACCCAAAATTGAAAAGCCTGTCATCATTTACTCTCTCTCAAATTTTTCCAAACCTTAGTTACTTTCTTCTGTTGAATACAAAAGAAGATATTTTGAAGAATGTTGATAGCCAAACAGTTGCTGGTTGTCATTGACTTCCACAGTAAGGAAAAATGCCATGGAAGTCAATGGGGAGCAAAAGAAAGAAAGAAAGAAACTTGCACAGGTTTGGAGCAACTTGAGGGTGAGTAAATGATGACAAAATATCAAAATTTTTGGTTGAACTCTCCCTTTAAGCATTGATTCATTAGGGATATCTAGTCTCTTTTCCTGAAGTTCTGACTTATAGAACCTTACCACAAGGGTCCCGGTAGCTATTCATGTTAGTAGTATCAAATATTTCCTCTTTTCATCCAAACAACAGCTGGTACTTTCAATCCATCCCAAAGAAGAGACCCGTTTTGTTAAGCCACATAACCCTCTGCACAATGGCAGCTTTTGAGCTCAGGTGTTGTGACCTCTTCCCCCTCATCCCAAACCACTCCATTCTCTGTAATGGAGATAAAAAGCTTCCCAGCAGCCCAGTGGGGAATCGTCGGGGTGGGGGGGTAGAAACAGAGCAGAGCTGCCCATCCATGACTCACACACACTCACACTGGCCTCCTCAACTTGACTAATTGGAGCACAGTCATGTGACGCTCTCCTTCCTCTGCAGATCGGGGGGCAGTGTAAGTGCAAGCGACATGTGTCTGGCAGACAGTGCAATCAGTGCCAACACGGATTCTACAAGCTGCAGTCGGCACTGGCTGACGGCTGCCACGCCTGTAACTGCAATACCGCCGGGACCGTGCAGCCAGATATTACCTGTCACCAGGACTCAGGTCAATGCCAGTGTAAGGCAAACGTAATCGGTACGTATCAAACTGCATTGCGTCCTCCATCGCTCTTTCACTCTCTTCTCCCATCCATCTCTTTCTGTCTCTCCCTGTTGATTCCCACAAAGTTGATAAGCTGTACAGGGTAAGAAATAAATACCGTATTGGCCCGAATATAAGACGACCCCCCTTTTTCCAGATGTACCTTTTGGAAAAAGGCTTTTTAAAAACCAAATCTTGTTTTTTTTCTCAGTAAAACACATTTTGTCTTCAATTATTTTCATATTGCATATTTTTCCTATTTTAATTTTTGTTTTAGATGTATGGTAAAAACTGATAAAAGGTAGCAACAATCACATTTAAAAAATAAACACTTTTTGATATACCATTAAAAAAAACAAAAAACATTTAGGCTATCCATCTAATAGTAGCCTACCAAAATCTTATTAACAGTAGAAGTTAAATCTTACTGTAGTCTTCAAATCTGGGTACTGTCTTACATTTTAAAATAATTTTTGTTTTAAAAGTATGGTAAAAACTGATCAAATGTAGCAACAATCACATTTAAAAAATATACACTTTTTGATATACCATTAAAAAAAACAAAAAACATTTAGGCTATCCATCTAATAGTAGCCTACCAAAATCTTATTAACAGTAGAAGTTAAATCTTACTGTAGTCTTCAAATCTGGGTACTGTCTTACATTTTAAAATCACAAAGGGAGTTTGGTCCCATCAGGCTAACGTGACAGTCACGACTCATGCAGCTGTAAGGTTTTCTTTTTCTTTTGTGTTTACTCGCAATCTTTACAACACGCATTACATTACGTATTTCATGGCACACTCGTTTTATGCGTATTTGGCGCCACCTATTGTGGTGGGTGTATTATTGACATGTCAAAGTCTAGAGTCTAGACCCTGAATATAAGACGACTGCGTTTTTTCGTCTTATATTCGGGTCAATACGGTACATATACAGATAAATGAGTATGGCTGGAATCATGAATGTTGTACTGTCTCTATGTAGATAAACTAATAAATAAATATTTGGCATATCAGCCATGGTCTTCATTTTTATCAACATTAAGATTTTAGCTTAAAATGTATATGAATGTAAACTTTTTGTTAACTTCTTTTATGTTTATTACTATTGTTTCTTAATCTAATTAATTTTAAATGGCAATGAGGTTGGACAAACTTAATATATATATATATATATATTCTATGTTGTCTTTCAGTAAGTTTTAAATTAAATATATTACCAAATTATTTTGACAATGGTTGATATGCCGTTTTATATTAGAAATTATTCAAAATTATTCATTTTCTTCTTGTTTGCATTTTTTAATTTCTGAAATGAAAACATACGAAGCATACGGTGATCACTCTGCTGTGTTGCATATGTAAATGAAATGATTAAATTGTTTACCATCAGGCTCTTTTTTTTTTTTTGGCAAAGCCCTGTTTTTTTTCTCACAATTTTATTGTGAGCAGGAGCCAAAGGGATTTTTCTTCCAGCTTTTCCAGGCATTCCAGGTCTTTGCGATAAATCTGTTCCTTTTTTTATCCTTTGTACCTTTGAACAGTTTTCTTATGAAATGCAAAAGAATGTTACTTAGAAGATCATGTGTATTGCTAAGCCAGAATATCAAGGACCACCTCATTTTAATTTTGTAATTCAATACCAAGTTGATTATAATAAACTGCCCCTGTCTTCCTTATTTTTCATGCTTCTTACAAGACCTGCTTCTTTGTTTGTAGTTCCCACAGGTATTTTTCAGAAATTAGATTTGATTAAGGCAATTTATTACCTCCAGCGCGTTTGAGGCCAGCCGCAGCTTCATAAGGACACAATTTATCAAGCGTCCAAAGTGCTCTGCGTACACAATGTGCTTTGAAATGTTGATGTATGAGAATAATATGCAGAAAAGCATTACTGATAAAATGTGGGCTGCGCTGGTACACACCCCACTCCATAGGTGCACCAATGGGCAGTCAAATATATATTAAAAAGTATATATAATCATAAGTGTTAAAACCAAATCCACTCCAATTTATCAAAAATAATATCTTAAGCATAAATATTTACTTGCTTATTTTTACCTGCAGATTGTTGTTAGATTTAGTCATTAATTTCTTCTTATATTCACAGTTGGATGGCTCACAGTTACCATAGCGTTTAAAGAGTTACACAGATTTTCCAACATCCACAAGCCATGCACACAATGACAAATTGCGGCACCTTTGGTGTGATATTATTGGGGTATTCATCTGTGTCACATTGTGCACTTAACATAATGTTGTAATGAGGTTTAACTGTGGGTAGGGAGCAATATATTAATATCTAAATTCATTAATGTGGAGCTCTGTTGCGGAATACACAGCAGTGGAGGTGTGTGGAGTTCTCAGTACTTATGGCTGTAAACGGTTTGCCCTGTAGGCTCTGCTCAGCAACATTAGGAATAGATTACCTGTCAGGAATATGTATGGCATATTCAAATAAGCACCGCACACATTTTAAAAAACTTGATATGATTTGATTCCACGTAGACCACTTTTTAGGGTCTCCAAATGAGCTGTAATTCTTTTTTAGCCTCATAGTTATTTTTACTTTTTTCCCTTCCATTGCCTTTCTTGGGTCTTTTAATTTATTTATTTTCCTTTTAGAGAAATTAAGTGCTACGCCCGAGGTGAGTCGTTCATCATTGGGAAAGGGCCTCACTTAATGATGACATTACCAATTTAGTTTTTTATTCCTTGTGTAATATTTCACTGATTTACTTGTTTGTTTACTATGTACTACAGAGTGTTATGAAATGTGGGTTATGATGTAAAGGCCAAGACCAAATCATTTCAGATGTTGACGGGTTAGTTCACCCAAAAATGAAAATTCTGTCATTAATTACTCACCCTCATGTCGTTTCAAACCCGTAAGACCTTTGTTAATCTTCGGAACACAAATTAAGATATTTTTGATGGAATCTGAGAGCTCTCTGACCCTGCATAGACAGCAACGCAACTGAAATGTTCCCAAGTCCAGAAACGTAGCCAGGAGATCTGTAAAATAATCCATGTGACATCAGTGGTTCATCCGCAACTATACAAAGCTACGAGAATATTTGTGCACAAAAGAAAAAATAATAACAACTTTATTCAACAATTTGACTCCTCTGCATCACCCTGGTGCCATTTTGGAGAATATCAGCTGGACGTAAACAACGTATGCTGTTCTGTGTCAGCTGCGTCACGCCGGATCTGTTTCCTACATTGTTTGCGCTTTGATTTTAATGAAAACATTCAACAACTGTGATGCAGCTGACACAGAATAGCATATGTTGTTTACGTCCAGCGGATATTCTCCAAAATGGCACCAGGGTGATGCATAGGAGACGAATTGTTGAATAAAGTCTTTTTTTTTTCTTTTGCTCACAAAAAGTATTCTTGTAGCTTCGTATAATTGCGGATGAACCACTAATGTCACATGGATTATTTTACAGATCTCCTTGCTATGTTTCTGGACTTGGGAACATTTCAGTTGCGTTGCTGTCTATGCAGGGTCAGAGAGCTCTCAGATTCCATCAAAAATATCTTAATTTGTGTTCCGAAGAAGAAGGGTGAGTAATTAATGACAGAATTGTCATTTTTGGGTGAACTAACCCTTTGAGGTTGGTGGTTTGTGGATGGTAAGATGAATTTGAATAACTTTAGTTGAATGAAGATAAATGAAATGCTACAATCTGCAAAGAGAAAATACATATGCACATATTTTTTTTGTTACTAGGGTTATCCACGTAAATTGACTTTCACATATTCACATCACGTTTTCTTTCAGAAATGGAAAGTTTCCACCTCAGAGTAAATTTTTTTTAATTAAAAAAATAAATAAAAGGTCAATGTGGGCTTTTTCATTTTTTATGTGAAATTTAGTAAATATCTTTATTTAAAATTTGCAATGACACTAATTATTTTTGCAAAAAAATGGTTACTTACAATGAAGGATTAAATGAAATGGAATCCTGGTAATAATTACCACACCATAACCATAAAAAAACCCCACTAAAGTATAAACAGTAAATGGAAAACCATTGGCAATTGCCACAGCTATTATCTTTTTTAAATTTAAATATTTAAAGTTACTATTTTTGTTCTATAAATTTAACAGCAAATTCTCCTGAAATAAGCTCCTGAAACCTGCTTAAGTACCTCCTGGGGTCCTGGTTTGGAATAGCACTGATAGTGGTCTCCTCTTTTTATACTTAGGTCTAACCTGTGACCGTTGTAACTACGGCTTCAAATTCCTCAATCGCACAGATCCTGATGGCTGCATTCCCTGTGGTTGCGACCCATGGGGTTCTCTACACCAGTTCTGCAATCCTTTCACTGGCCAGTGCGAGTGCAAAGATGGCGTACGAGGCCTCCTCTGTGACACCTGCATCCCTCACTTCTACAGTCTGAATGGCAGTGGAGTCTGCCTGCCCTGTGACTGCAGTCCAAACGGATCTGTTCCCGGTACCTCCTGTGATGCGGTGACCGGACAGTGTAGGTGCAAACCTCACACAGAGGGCCGGCGGTGTGACGTGTGCCGGGATGGATACCACAGTCTGCACAGCAGCAACTCCTTGGGCTGTGTGCCTTGCCAGTGTGAGCTCAGAGGCACGGTAAATGGTTCAGATGTGTGCGACAAGACCACAGGCCAATGCATGTGTAAAAACAACGTAGAGGGACTAAGTTGTAATCGATGCTCATCTCACACCTACAACCTGAGTTCTGCCAACGCCACGCATGGATGTCAACCATGTCACTGTGATCACATGGGCACCGTACCTGCAACCGTGTGCAACCCTGTTAGTGGTCAATGCATCTGCTTGCCCACACGTTACGGTCAAGACTGTGGAACCTGTAAACCAGGTTGGTCCTTTCAGTCTGATTTGAAACTGTGTGTGTATTTACAAGGTAGATGGTGTATTTGTAAGCTCATTATACTGTGTTGGCAATGCCAGAGAATTCATTGCTTTAGTTGTTTACTGTGATTCCTAGCCATTGCGCATTGCATTTGAAGTATCTGCGTAAACATCTTTTGAATTACAAAGCGCTCTCTTCTTTTTCTTAACTAATGACTCCCTTGCATTTTGTTCTTGGCTCTGCAAGCTGCTGCATTGTTTTGTTATTCCTTTTTTCCTAGATTGTGCCTGGGAATTGAGTGTGTTTGGCAGTCACTTTGGCCTTTGGCGTTTAACTAGCATAGCTACAGGCCATTTCTCATGTACCCTCAATCAACCCCCTCAGTGGCTGTTGGGCCAGTGCTGGCCTCATGACTCAAGTGCACTTCAGGGGGTGGAAATGTTTGCACTTGCCTTATTCTTTGCAGCATAGTAAGTGCTAGAAGTGCACTGCCAGGGGCTCAAGAGTCAGTGTGGCTAGACCAGCTGTACCAGTTGGTCCCTTTGTCTTCGTAATGAAGATTAACCCTCACTGTTTACTGTAAAGCCAACTTGCACTTTTGCCTTCCAATTCCAAAAAGCTGCTGCTACTTTAGAGTACTGTAAAGATATGTTCCTATTAGTAATTTGGATAGTTGATCCTATCCTAATACTGTATTGTCCATCAACAAATTTGAACACAACCCTTAAACCCTGCTGATAAAACAACTTAGACTAGTTTAGACCAGCTTAAAGACCACATTATTTAAATTTAGAATTTTTGTGCATATTAGTACAGTATATGTGTATTAGCTTGAGGTCATCTATATGCTAGTGTAATTTAATAAATAAATAAATACATAAAAAACAAGACAGACCCTTCAATGGAGAGCTGCAGGAATTACATTTTTGTAGGCCAATGCAGTAGTTGGCATTACCCTGGTTCTCTCAACAAAAAGTCAATAGTATTTTTTTCATTGGCTTTTGGATTCTTGCAGAAATTAAACACTGTTACCAGCAAAAGCTTATGGTTCTTACATGTTTTATTCATCAAGACAATCTTTACAAACTAACAACTTTTATGACTTTTGAAGCCTAAGTACAATTGCTAGGAAGCTAAAGAAAGCTCAAATTAGGCTATAAACGAATTACACCATGGTAGTCTCAGCATCAGACGTCACACCCATGAACCATTGACTGAACGTCTGATCCATATGGCACACAAAATTGGAAACACTTTGGGAGTTTCGAAGTCGTCATCAGATTGGTTGAATTATACAGGATTTCCGGGAGACGTGTGTGTCGTGTTCTTTAACATTCCGCCTGGAAACAAATATGCCGTGATGCCAAACCCACTCATGTTAGAAGAAAGCCGTCATGTTTACAACTGTGACAATGAGCTTATCAGGATCAACTAAATGCTGGATTTTCAAAAGTATGTGAAATATTTAAAGTTCACGGCATAGAATCTTTAAAATATGTCCAAGAGTTTTACACACCGGTGTGTTATTGTGGGGGCATTTCCACACCCCTAAACATGACACGGCACAAAACGAAACATGATTGGTTGCTTTATCTGTCAGTCATATGGCCTTTTGGGCAGTCCTTGCCGTTCAAAGTGGCCAAGGTTCCCAGACCTTCTGCCATCAGTCTGAAGGTCTGGCAACGCGAGACATGGTCATGTGACTTCAACGTCTCTACCACTAAGATAAGGTATCTAGCAATGTAGCTTTGTCTGGTCATTTAAGCTTAAGCCATATTAGCTAGTCTAGGCTAACCATGGAAACCATGCTGCCCAACATCCACCAATGAGCCTATGCATATGATATGTGGGCGCATGGCTTGCACGGTAACCAGACAAGGATGTACGGCCAACCCTCCCCTAGCTTGTGCCCCCCCACACATGATGAAATAATGCGGGCGTACCTGCTGCTCACCAAAGCCTCAGCCTCCCATGCCAGCACATAAAGCATGTGTACAGAGAGTGGGGCTGGCAGGAGTAAATTGAAAGCACAGGGAGCGGGGGGAGAGCCATTTGGAGGAGGGTGGGGGGACTGATGACTGTGTTTCTGCAGGCCCTCCCCCGGCTCCCCTCACGGAGCCACAGTTGTATTTCACCGGAGGGGAAGCAGCCTGTGATTGAAACATCTCAAACTCAGCGCCCCCTGTCTGATTGATGTGCGCAGGAGCCTGACGGAGCCCTTGAGATTCAACTCGTACTTTATTTTTAAGAAGATATAGACGGAAAGTGGACCACGACACTTTTAAAGGAACATTTCACCCAGAAAGAATACCTCATTGACTTTCTTTCCTCTGTGAAAGTCTAAAGGAGATTTTAGGCAGAATATCTTAACAGCTCCTTTTCTCACAGTAAAACAATAATGATGTATTGTACTTATTCCCTTAAAGGGACAGTTCACCCAAACATTACATTTATGTCATAATTTACTCACCCTCATGTCGTTCCAAAACTGTATGACTTTATTCTGTGGAACTATGGAACTGCTGAAAATAATTTGTCCATGCAATGAAAGTCAGTGGGGTTCAAAACAACATTGGACCCCACTGACTTTCATTTTATATATATATATATATATATATATATATATATATATATATATATATATATATATATATATATATATATATATTGCCACAGAGGAAAGTAAGTGATACAGGTTTGGAACAGCATGTGGGTGAGATTTTTTTTTAAGTGCACTTAATTGTTTTGAATAACTACAATTTTACAATTATATTTTAAAATAATTAAATTATAAATTCATCATTACAAATGTGTAATTACAAATACATGACATGCACAAAGTGTATATTTCAAGACAAAGTAATTTTGAAATTACATACTAAGATGTACTTAAGACTTATTTAGGTTGGTTCAACTAATTGCATATAACGAAAATACATTTTCTTTTAATTGCAAATAATATGAAATTAAGTGTCCATAAACATTGCATTCAGTTCACATTTAAGTATATTCTTTTAAAATATGTTATTTCCATAATAATACTTTTTAAAGGTATACTAAAGTACTTCTTTTTCTTAAGAGATTTATTTATTTTATTTTATTTTACTTTATTTATTGTGGTGATAGCAAAAGAGGAAGTAAATGAGAGAGCTCACCATAAAATGCATAATGAGTCTGTTTGTGTTTCTTCGCATCATATGTCATTGCAGGTTTCTTCCTGTCTGAGGCGGGGTTCAGCGAGTGTGAAGTGTGTGAATGTCACTCTGTTGGAGCGGTAGGGCAGGTGTGTGCTGCCCACTCAGGGCAGTGTGTGTGTGCTCACCCATCACTGACCGGTCGCAGATGCGACCAGTGCCAGGATCTCTTCTTTGGCTTTAATCCAAGTGTTGGCAGGTCAGTGCCATGGTCCAACACCTTTATCTCGGTCATGTTCGAGAAAGACGTTTTAATTTATTACCATGCAGCAAGATATATCATCAAGTAAAAAAGAACAGTGTAAATCACAGTCGAAAATGACTCCAGACCTCCCTCCCATCACCGAGATTGAACACTAGTAGTGAATAAAGCCCATTTAGAAAATCATGCACATCACTTTTCATAGCGATTTGAGCCAGTTAGCTGCTTACTGGCCCACGGGTTCAGACAGAGCCAGCAAAGGTCAAATTAGCCATTAAAGTCTCCCGCCTCTAAACGAGGCTGCATTTTAATACTCTCTGCATAGTTGATTTGTTGGATACATCAATTAGGTTGTAAATGCATCATATGTTAGCTGTCTTAATGATATACTCCAAAGCAGCTCCCCAGCTTGAACATATGGCCTAAGTTGGGGATGGAAAACTTGGCATTCTCAGGAGTCAGTGGATTGGAAAATAATTTTTCTTTTCTATTTTTTTCCCCTTTCCTACACACGGCAGATTTTCTTTTGATGATTTTTATATTTAAGTCTTGGTTTGGTTGAAGTCTCATTGAATGACCTTCCTGCTGGGTGAATAAAAGGAACAGTGGGGGACATCGTCAACGCTTCCCATATCAACCATCGTTTACCTTTTAAGCATTTCCCCCCTCAAAATAAAAAATATGATGTTGAGGTGCACAGTAGGCAGGGAGAACATTAATTGTTGGCTGGTGAGATGCAAATAGCATGAGCGCGTGTTTTCAATGCATCAACAACAGTGCTACCGGACATCACAAATTGTTAATCCATATGAGTCGTGACAGATCACTGCATACACAATCCATCCAGCTGCACTCGTTCACCCAGTAAGGATGAAAAATGAACTATTTAAACTGATTAGAGGGGAAGCTTGAACTGCATCAGGAGATCCTACACAATAAAGATTTCTTTATCTAAATATTATAAACTCATTTGTCTGCCCCAGAATCAATAAGACGATGCATCTTATTTTGTTTTCTTATATTGGGTCGTTCGCTGCGGACCACCTAATAGAGGTAGTTAAAAACCCACAATATGGTTAGGGAAGATTTGCCATCACAGCAAATGAGAGACATAGGCTACATGGAAAGTGGTGCTTGGCTAATCATTTAACCTTGGGGGAAGAAAGCAAGTTTTATTTTACAGAAGTGTAGGTCATATTTATATCTGGTTACTGTTTTTTTTTTCTGTTGCTAGACAAACTTGCTTAATTCCTTGTCTGCAAACTTTCCAGCTCTATTTGCAACACTTGTTCTAGACAAACATCGAGGCGCAATCTGGAGTCATTTCCTTTGATAGCTGCAAGCTATTGGAATATTTCAAATATGGAGAATGTAAGCATGTGAAACTTAGCAATATTGGTACTGATAACAGAATTTGATACCACAATTGGCTTCGTTTTTGCATGACGAAGAGAAAAAAAAGTTCACTGTCTCCTTCCGAGGAGTCAAGGTCGAACCACATTGGGAAACGGGTGGCTTAGCCCAAAACGCCCCTCTAGTTGACAGAACAAATTTTCAGCTCATTAAGAGTCTGTGGCTTTTATCAGCTGCTTTCGAGGGTGTCAGGCGCTTGGCCCCCACATCACCCGCTGCTGGCCCCTTAGGGCCTTTCCTCCTCCATCCTCTACACCCCTCCCAAAAGTGTCACTGACAGGTGCATCTGTGAATGCCTCCATTTTGTCAAAGTGCCACCCCCCCCTTCCCTCACAGTAACACACACACTAACATGCACACATTCACTTTTTGCAACTTTTCGTATCTTAGCCAGTCGGAAAGGGTCACAGTTTTTTGTAAATAGAACTGGTCTTGTTACTTTTGGTTAATTACCTGATTTCATGTCCTCTACAGACATGGACAATGTCACAAGAAGTGATACTGTTTTTTATCTTATGAAAATGGTTTTTGTGTCTCTTGTGATCTCCATGTGTCTAGGTGTGAGCCTTGTGGATGTGATCCTGTCGGGGGATTCAATGGCACATGCCACCCCCAGACGGGGCAGTGTCTGTGCAAGCCGTATATGACTGGAGATAAATGTGACATCTGTGTGGAGGGAGCCAGTCACATGGATCCAAACAACTACTTGGGCTGCAGTAAAGGTATGAATCAATATATACTTTAAATATGTATTAATAGCAGCGTTATTTTACATATTTTGAATTAGCTTTTATTTTTATTACGGCATTTCATATTTCATTTAAATTTTGAGTTTAAGTATTATTTTTATTTTTATAAATTGTTATTATTATTTTTTTTTTTTAAGTATAATTTTTTAGTACTTCAATAATAGTAATTTTATTACTTAAAGCTAAGTTTATTTTATTGAACTTATTTGCCAAGGAAACATTTGTTATTTTCGTTAATTTTTTTAAAATATATATATAGTTTTATATATATAGTTTTAGTTAACAATAAGCAAAAAATGCAATGATAAGCAAATAACGAAAAGAAAAATTATGAAAAAAATATATATTGTTTATGTTTGTGTGAGTGTGTGTGTATATATATAAGTATATACTGTATATATGAATGCATATATATAATTCACAACTAATTTAAATTGCTTTACTTTAGCATGTTACAACGCTAACAGCACAATATTGCGCTAAGCATAATGATACATTTAAATAACACTAAACTATTTTTATTGATACTTTTCAATATTAAATAACATATATTTACATATTATTGCCCTTTTGTTGGTTTTGATTGCTTCTATTGTCCTCATTTGTAAGTCACTTTGGATAAATGCATCTGCTAAATGACTAAATGTAAATATAATGTAAATGTATTTATTTCATCATGATCAGCCTGATCCCATGAAATCAAAATTTGGCATAAATTAAAGGCTATCAGCTAATAAAAGGACAAGCCCTTTGATGTATCCCAGCCTTCGTTTTCAGTAGGAATTATTTTAACATAGAAAAGAAAAATCATATCATATAATTTTGAGGAGCTTTATTTGAATGCTTTATTTGGCTCAAAAACAGGAAAATACCTCTTATAGAGTTTCTTTATTGTAGTGACTGTAATTTAAATGCAGATTTCCCCAATATAGTCAAATTGCTTTGCAAGTTTAGAGCAAGAGAGCCATACCTAAGGTCAGAACTCACTGCCGTCACTCAATTGCTGTGGTATTTACGCTGGACTGTGGAATTTATTACATACTTTATTCAAGATACTTGCCCAGGAGCTGACACTCAAATTTAATCATGTTGCATCCTTATGTTTTAGCTGAACATTTCACTAGAGGAGATCTGCATGGAGGAATGGTCCAAATTACCAGCAACAGTGTGTGAAAACCTTGTGAAGACTTACAGCAAACGTTTGACCTCTGTCATTGCCAACAAAGGGTATATAACAAAGTATTGAGATGAAATTTTGTTATTGACCAAATACTTATTTTCCACCATAATTTGCAAATAAATTCTTTAAAAATCCTACAATGTGCTTTTCTGGATTTTTTTTTCTCATTTTGTCTCTCATAGTTGAGGTATACCTATGATGAAAATTACAGGCCTCTCTCATCTTTTTAAGTGGGAGAACTTGCACAATTGGTACTAAATACTTTTTTTCCCCACTGTAGATGTATATCTCTCTCATGATCTTATGCCATTCCTGGGTTCAGTTGCATATCTACATTATAAACATTCAGCATGTATATACTGTAAGGTGACCTGTTTATTGGTCTGCGTGTTTAGAGCATGCGGCACTTAACTTCACGGAGACCCTTAAAGCCCTAATGTGCCCCTCCAGTACAGTGTTTTTATTAAGTTAGCAGTTTTTACATGTAACAAATGATTATTGCTCTAGTATATTCATAGTCCATTTTCCCTATTAGCTAGCAGCTTTGGTGCTTTAACCTTGTGTAATTCTGTTTCACAATGCAGATTTATCACCAATATGTCTCGGCTTACACTCTCCCACTCCTGTTCAGATCCCCAACAGCAGCCTCCTCCTCTCGGCCAGGTTCTAAACTCCACGGCTATAGAGTTGAGCTGGAGAGCCCCTGACTCCCCCAACAGCAATGAACTGATGTACACACTGCTTCGAGATTCAGAGATCATCCACATCAGCCACAGCCAGCACCCATTCGGTTAGTGTTTATGGTGCTTCCATAATATCTTTGTCTGAGTATATAAAATATGATTGTGCTCTGGAATTAAATGATACTATGATGTAGGGCTGGGTGATATAGCTAAAATATTATATAATGTTTCATATCGTTTGGAATCGATAATTATTGACATTTTTGTAACCTTTTTTAAAACAAAAAGCAATAGAATTTTTTTTTTTCATTTAACCACAGTATTTATAATTAACACAATTTATTGAGACAAACGACAAATATTTTTGTTTTAACAATCAAACACAATAAAAATTAAACAAATATTTAATTTTATATGCAGATTAAATAGGTCTTTATTGTATAGGTCTAATTGTCTCCCGAGGCCACAGGAGGGCGCAATGAGCAAAATAATGCAGCACATTTAAATTGTCAACGCAAGGAAGTAACTCTATTAAAACGTGCATTACGTCTATATTAACTCATAAAAATCAAATATAATTTCGTAAATTGCATAAACAATTATGAACAAAACAGCATCATGTATTTATGCATTGCTTATTCCAAAGAGCCGAAGCGCCATTCACACAGACTGCATTTAAAAACATATGAGACACAGTGAAAAGGAATAAATGTCCACAAATTCGTGACGTGTTTTCTAAAAGTTTAAACTGTTTTAACTTTGCATGGCTTTCTATACATCTCTTCTCTGAGATGCGAGTGCAGCAGTCATATTTTTCCGTCTAGAAAATGCGCTGAATATGTGTTCTGTGTGAATGGATTGGTTTTGGTTTTAACCAAATTAAGATCTTCTTCACATTGAGCTTCTATATTTCTCTAATATTTTGAATGAACGCAGCAGCGGCGCGTCTCGTGGGCTAGAGATAGACTAACAAAACATTCAAATGCAACTACGTCTTCAACGTCTTACATCACCACATCTCGCGCGCCACTGATGACGCTCCCTGATGCAGACCTAACATCCAAATGCAAATGTTTATTTTAAATTTGACTAATATTCATTCTTTATTTACAATCTCCTCATCACAGGCAGGCACAGCACTCATTTCAGCATGTGTTCGTGTTTGTGTGTGCTGTCTGCATCACTCATAGTACGTGCCTATATCGAACAATTTTTCTATCGATATCGAAGAAGGTGTACCATCGATAAATATCGATACGGTTTTATCACCCAGGCCTACTATGATGTCATAAACAATGATGTCCTAAACAACTGTGACACAATAATAGTGATAGAAGAAATAATATCATGGAAACGACTCCTGCAGACGCTCATTACTGTGTTAATTTGACCTTTTTGTGAGAAGGAAAGATTAGTTCAAGTTGAAAAATGTCATGAGGTGCGACTCCCCAAAAACATAATGATTTTTATTAATTATTAATGATATTTGTTAAAAAAAATTATAAATATTTAGAAATTATGTCTAAAATGTGTCCACTCACATTCAAAGTGTGGGGAAAATATTTTATTACTTATTACTTGATGACACCTCATGACGTTTGAAAAAATGTCATTAAAGGGATAGTTCACCCAAAAATGAAAATTTGATGTTTATCTGCTTACCCCCAGGGCATCCAAGATGTAGGTGACTTCGTTTCTTCTGTAGAACACATTTGATGATTTTTAAGTCCAACCGTTGCAGTCTATCAGTCTTATAATGGATGGCAATGGTAACAAAGTCTATGAGAGTAAAAAAAACATGCACAGACAAATCCAAATTAAACCCTGCGGCTCGTGACGACACATTGATGTCCTAACACACGAAATGATCGGTTTGTGCGAGAAACCGAACAGTATTTATATCATTTTTTACCTCTAATACACCACTATGTCCAACTGCTTTGAGCACGCGCACGGCTTCCGGTGCGCGAGATGTGTACGCGCTCTGGCGTAGTTTACGTTAATGGGTGTGTTGTCGCGGGAGGAGCAAATGACAGACACCGTTTATTAACAGAAAATAAACAAAGTGTCCAGAAAAAAGGGAATCAAGTGTCCAAAAGAAACAGGGGATCTGGTGTCCTCGTCGTGCTGCGGGGTTCGTGAAGGGAAGGGCAGTGGTCAGGAAGGAAGGAAGGGTCCAGGTAAGGGGCGGAGTCCGGCGATCGCACGTGCTCCCCTCTCCGGTCCGGGGCGCGAGGGGTGGTGGCTTCTATCAGCGGCTTCGTCCTTCTCTCTGCTCACGGCGCTTGAAGGGACTAGATGGCCCAGCATCCTTGCCCGACGGCCGTGTAACGGGTGCGGTTCTCGTCCGGACTGCGGGTCCGGCAGCTCACGACTCTGGCGGCACGGGAGTCCCTCTACGCACCCCTCCTGGACCCACGAGGACACCAGCGTGCATGCACGGGGAAGAGACCGGTCTCCCGAGGAGAGGCGCGCTCGGCATTTAAACAGCGGCGGCGATGAGGCTCCATTCGGTTCAGGTGTGCCCCATCACACGTCCCCTGGCTATTTCAGTGCCCCTCCTCTCTCACGCACCCACTCATGTCGGGAGCCTGGTGAAGGGCGGCGATTAAGGGACGGGGTGATGCTGATAATTAGGGGGAGGCAGCCGACTCGTCACAGTGTGTTGATATCCAGCCGAAGAGCAATCAACCATAACTTCAGGTGAGCAGGCTCAGAAGTCAGTTTGAACAATCTGGATAAGCGCAAGTAAGTACCATTTTGATTAGCCATCGTACCTACAATGACTGTGCACTGTGTAAACAATGAGTGACGTATACACGCGAGCGATCACTTCCGGCACTTGCGTAAACTCGTAAACTACGCCAGAGCACGTACACATCTCACACACCGGAAGTCGTGCGCGTGCTAAAAGCAGTTGGACATCATAGAACACTCATATACACTACTGTTGTGGTTGTGGTTTAAATTAAAATGAATATAAAATTAATATTCCGCAAATATGCATTAAATTCAAAAGTGAGAGTACAGACATTTATAACATTACAGAAAATTTCTATTACAAATAATTGCTGTTCGTTTGAAGTATTCATCAAAGTATCCTGAAAAAATGTATCACAGTTTCCACAAAATATTAAGCAGCAACTTTTTTCAACATTGATAATAAAAAGAAATGTTTCATGAGCATCAACTCAGCATATTACAGTGAGAATTAATTGCATTCAAAACATTAAATAGAAAACAGGTTTTTTAAATTATAATAATATTTCACAATATTAATGTTTTTACTGTATTTTTTATCAAATAAATGCAACTTTGGTGAGCATAAAATATATATTTTTTTAATCTTACTGACCCCCAAATTTTGAACATTATTGTTAATGAATTGACAATTAACATATTGTCATCAGTACCACAATTCATTTGATAGCTTTGATGTTCTCTTTCTCATACAGGAACTATGCATTACACAGATGCTGATTTGTCTCCTTACACGGCATATTCTTACCAGCTCATCACTAGCAATATCCGTGCTAACACCAGCAGTACCACGGTCAGCTTACGCACACTGTCAGCTGTACCTGAGCAAGAGGAACTCCAATTAACCCTTGTGGGTCGAGCCAAGCCCACCAGCGCCTCCTTTAACTGGACAGAGCATTTGAACACCACTGGTCCAGTGGACAGCTATACCCTGAGCTCGATACAGGATCTGACCGGAGAAGAGAGGATCCACTACACAGGACTTCAAACAGAGGCTACCGCTGAGGAGCTGCAACCCTTCACTGGATACAACTTCAGTCTGCAGGCTTGCACTAACGGAGGCTGCGCTCGCAGCGAGAGTCTGATCATACTTACCGCTCAGATACCTCCTCAGCAGCAGCCTGCACCCACAATCACAACCATAGGGTCCTCTCAACTCCAAGTGGACTGGGAACCGCCAGTGTTACCTAATGGTATTGACAAATTTTTATTATTATTTTTTATTTTTTGATGGCATTTTTTGCTATTTTAGATGATTTTTGACAGGGACACCTTGAAAAAAGATAATGAAATCTAACACAATATCTGTGGGCCCCTCATGTAAGCTATGATAATATTCTAAATATTTCGGTATGTGCTGCTGTAATTACGACAAACAACAAACTTTTTTGAAACCGGAAATAGTCAATATATTAAATAAATAAATTACAATTATTTTTGTTCCCAGAAGAACAGTTTGTACTTTAATAAAACAATAGTTTTTGAGGGGAAAATAGAAAAAAGAGATAAATATTCATTCTAATTTCGATGTGTGTTTTTTTTATTTTTTTTATTTTAATTAAATCATTTTAAGTCATCCTGCGACTCCCTTGTTTGATGAGGCCCCAAGTGGGCCCCCGCCTCCTGGTTGAGAACCTCTGGAATATCCAAACCGTTTCAAATATTCATAGGGTATATGTTCTTGTTGTAATCGCTACTAGAGGTCTGCAAGCCCGTCGGGTTCCGCTAAGTCCATTCGGGCCGGGCTCGGGCCATTTTTTTTTTTACAGATCGGACTCAGGTCGGACTCGGGCTAATTTAGCTTAACTCCTTTTATTGTGCCCATATACGCGCAGAGCACACTACTGTATGAAATATTCTTTTATTGATTATATTATAAATACTATACACAAATTAGCATACAGGTGACAGCTGACCATGCAGAGCATCAGGGAGAAGTTGGAGCGTGGGGAGTTACTAGTTCAGTGCTTCGGGAAAAGCTGCATTTTGGAAGAGTTTTGATTTGATTACCACGGCAAACAGTGAGTCAATTGGTCAAGTGCAGTGTAGAATCTAAACATATCTTTGCACATGACAGCAAAAAACGCACGCAATAGGCTAAAGCATGTCACAGAGCCCCAGCAAAAGTAACCATGATTGTGTCGGGGGGGAAATAGTAAGAAGATACTTGAATTATTTATTAATAAATTAGTGTTTTCTGAGTCTGTGTCGCAAAGATGATCCTGACTCGCCATCTCCTCAATGGACGCGCCTTTAGAGAGAAATGCATATTTAAAGAGTTTTTATTTTTATTTTAATTATTTAGTTTTAAAGTAGTAGTTTAAAGCTTTCTATAGATATAATTAGCAAGTCTATGAGGCAAGTATTCGCTGAGTTTCGGTTCATCATTGTGAAGCGCTCCTGGCCGAAATTGCAGAAAGCGCATCCTGTATCCTTTATCTTATAAAAGCACGACGTTTTGTTGATATTGTATGTGCACACAAATAAAAGTAGACCCTTTATAGTTCCGAGTGATATATTACTCTTACCTTTATGAGCAAAAATTACGGCACATTTTGAGTTGTTTCCAATGCGAGTGATCGCGCCGGCACGCCATGTCCTGAAAGTGCTTTAGCTCTCCGCTCAAACGATTAGATGTGCGCACATTTATATAGGTTAAACATTTAAACTAACATTGTGATATGCTTGAACTGTTTTATATCTATAGATTTTATTTTAGGCAAGTCGTGATGATTTGAGAAGGCTAAATTGAGGCTAAACATAGGCTATGATCAACTCACTGTCTGCCTCTGGCCGCTTGGTCATTATTTTAAAAAACAAAAACGTACATTTAAGGAACAAAAAAAATGCTCCAAACATTTTTCTAAATTAACTTAATAAAAAAAAGGAAACGAAATATAATCACTTTGACATTACATACAAAACTGAACTATTTTAATAGCGGAAAAAGTAGTAAGCTGTTTTGGGAGAAGGGGGAAAAAAAGACGGGCTCGTGTCGGGCTCGGGACGGGCTCGGGACGGTAATTCTGATAAGCTGTCGGACAAGGCCCGGGCTAGGGCCTGAGCGTCTCGGGCCAGGGCCGGGCTAGGGCTTATTTTTGAGGTCTGTGCAGGGCTCTAATCGCTACCCCTGATTTTTTCATATTTTTGTGGTATTTTTTTCCATTTTGTATCAGTTTTTGTCTTCCACCAGACCTTGAATTAAAATAATTAGCTTTTGGCCTTCTAACCTCGCGCTGATACTGTACTAGGACATTTAACTTGTTGAAAGTAACGTTGTCTTTTTCATTTAAATATTCAGATCAGTCCCCAAATGTTACTCTCCTTTATTATTTAGAGGGAGTAGTAATATTGTTAGACATGATTTTATTTAATAGTGATTCTTAAATGCTCTTCCATTCTGCTGTAGCTTCCTTTTTAGCCGTCTCCAGCAACATCATTACAATAATGAGAAATACTATTATAGAGATGCCATTTGATCTCAGATGGGATGAAAATTAATTCCTTATGAACTTTAATCTACAACCAAGAGGCTTGATTAAGGCTCAGCCCATGCTTCATTTCGCAATATAAACTGATGGGATTGCATGCCGCAAAGAAACATTTCACATTTAAAACAGTTGATTGCTGCATACAATTATGGATTGTGCCTCGCGCCATTGAAAGCGTCGCAAAATAGCCCTCTGTATATCAATGACTTTTAATGCCAGTTATCATGCTTTTTGCCAAATTAGCTCATTAACATGGACCATTATAAAGTGCCCTTAGAGGATTCTCTCAATGAATTTCCTCTCCGTTTAATTGTCTATCTGATTCTATCTGTCTGCCTCTCTTTTCTACATAATTTCATGCAGCAGCTGTAATTGTGTATTGTCAATGGCCAGTCTTACATCTCAATATCATCTGCTTCTGTATGAGGCTTAATAAGGAATTGTGGAAGAAGGTATTGGCATATGTATGTTTCATCTCTCTTTCTTTCTCTCCAGGCATAATTATCAGGTATGAGCTTTTTATGCAGCTGCAGAATGAGTCGCAGAGAAACGCCACCAGTTACGGTCCAGAGCAAAGGGTTTTTCTCAGTAGTGGCTGGCAGAACGCGCGGCAGTCGTTGAGCTCGGCCAATGAGAATGCTCTAACCCCGCCTGAGAGCAGTACGGTTGTGTCCAATCTAGAATCCTTTTCCACCTACCGCTTCAGAGTGCTCACAGTTAACATGGCTGGCAGTACCCTGTCAGAGTGGGCCACGGGGCGAACTGCAGAAGGAGGTCAGTCGAACACACTTAGTACCATCAAAGAAAGCCATTTAAAGTTGTTTTTTTGGGTTTTTTTTTTACAAACTATGGTGATCATAACTATAAAATGATATGAAACTTTGTATTAAATTTTTAAATCCCTTTGGTTTGGTTGGATCTTTTCATTTTGTTTTATATCCAAAGAGATTATGAAACAAATTATCTTGAACAACACTCAAAACAATTTGAAATAAACAAGTATTGCATTTCATAGGCCACAAACGCGGCTCCATTCCGCAGAGAAAATCCTGTATCTTCGGACTTTATTTAGATGGGAGCCCTGGAGAATTGATTTTGAGGAGATGCTTATTAAGCAGACAAAGAATCGGTGGCTAGTGTTACAGCGTAGAATGACAGTTCCTGAAAAAACGGAAACTGGGAATTAGCATAAACATGTGAGGGATTGTTTATGTGGGATAAATTTTCACCACAAGTGCTTCACAGGAAGGAGCTCATCCAGGCTTTCTATTTTATTTAAAGGGAAGACAGCTGAAGTTCCATTTAGTGTTTCTGTCAACTTCCTCTCTATATTTTGACGCTTGGAGGGAGTTGTACTTTACTATTTTTATTTCTCGCCATGTTTTTGTTTGACAAGATGCACTTGAGTTTGCGGGTTTCAGTTGTCAAAGGTTGTGTTAAGAGGACAACCCAACAGCTGTTTGAAATAAGTCAGTGTAGAGCTGTGTAGAGCGGAATCAGTTTGTCAGTGTTAAGAAATAAAGAAATTAAAATTGATAAATTATGCTTTTATCCCAAATGGAAAAAATTTAATAATATTTTATCAGTATTTTCCATTATATATATATATATATATATATATATATATATATATTTATATACGTATTATATATATACAGTATATATATATATATATATATATATATATACATATTATCATGTGTTTGTCTCTGTTTAGTTCCTGTTTGCCCCTATTTGGTTCAGTTCCTGTCCTCATTTAGTTAATCATCGTTTATTCTGTTCACCTGTCTTGATTGAGTTCTCCACCTGTTTCAGTTTTGCCTAATCACGTTCCATGTGTTTATATACCCTGTGTTTTCCTCAGTTCCTTTGTCTTGCTTTAAAGTTACGTTGTGGTGTTTATCTCCTCTGTTGTTCTGTATTTCACTCTTGTCTAAAAAAAATTTTTTTATTGGTCTTATGAAGTATTCTAATTTGTTGAGATAGTGAATTGGTGGGTTTTTGTGAAATGTGAGCAATTAAAAGAACCAAAGACTTAAACTACTTCAGTCTGTGTGCATTTAATTTATTTAATACACGAGTTTCACAATTTGAGTTGAATTACTGAAATAAATGAACTTTTCCACGACATTCTAATTTATTGAGATGCATCTGTATACATTTCTTCTTTCTTGTGGCATCTGATAGATTGTTTGGAACCGGAAGCAGTGACGCGTGACAGCAGACTTAACAAGCAGATTATTATTATTATTTATTTGTTTGTTACTTGTTAGGTTTATGCTTAAAATAGTAAAAAAAAAAAAAAAAACTAAATTAAGGAACCTAATTGCAGTATTCTCTACATAAATTTAATTTTCATCTCAAGTACATTCATTTGCTGGATAACAAGACAAAAATGCTGATTAAGAAAAGGTTTTGTTGTTCTGATGAATTATTTGTGCTGCTCCACAGTGCCCGAGTACATGCCCCCTCCTCATGTGTCCCCTGTGTCCTCGTCCTCACTCCAAGTGAGCTGGGAAATGCCACAGGACAAAGACGTCAGGGGCGAAGTGACTGAGTACAGAGTCAACCTTCACCAAGAACAAATGTCCAACCCATACGCTCCACCTATAGTAACACAGGTATCCATTTCAGCACATTCAACTTTTTTTCTTGATAGAAAAGGGCCACTGCCAGAATATTCAGATGTGTTGGCACACAGCTTTGAAGCTTCTGTGGCTATATTGTCTTGTTCTTTGCTTCATGCATCACACAGAACACTTCCTATTGCTCCAGTTTTTCAACTTTTTGTATTATGGTATTTTTTGTCCCCAGTAACCTTCATTTTTGTCCAGATTTATATTTCCATAACTTGTGCCTTGTGTCCCAGTATGCATGTGGCGTGGGCTGAACTGTCCAAAAAGGTCTCCTCTATTACTCATGTGAATCTTTGTTTTGTTTTGTTTTCTTCGTTCGGGTAGCAGACCTTTAAAGGTTAAAGTAGTGCCGTCTCCCACATGTTAGTCTGTATTTAAAGCACTGTTTTCCATATCAGGATCACCTTTCCTGTCTTCGTGGCAAATGTTTCAACTATGTTTTTTTTAGATTACTTTCCCTGAACAATCCTCTTTTTAATTGGATTTCATTATCATAGATTTTAATTAGTTTGATAAGTGTATGTTAGCATTGATGATGTTTTCAGTCAGTAACCTGCAGATATGAATGTTTTTAATAAATATGTCAGGTCAGGCAGGTATTGAAAGCTCCGAAAGTGTGATCTGTTTAGTGCATGTATACATGTCTACTTCTTATGAGCGGTTGTAAGAACTCCCATTGGTATGATCAGTTGCTGAATTATTGCATGTACTTACCGAGTATGCTGTTTTCAAAACATATTTTCTAAATGCTACATTGCTGTTTTTTCACATTGTATTATTCTGCCATCTGCCTTATACAGCTGAGCAATATGAGGAAATAATCAAACATGCTTTTCTAGATTGTTTCTCTCTTTACCATGAACAGTTGGGAAAACCGATTTATTTAGCAAATTGTTGTTTCAAATGGTTTGTTATAGTTCATTCTGATGATTAAATTTCAGTGAAAAGGTTCAAACAGTATATTCACCATTGCATGTACATCACCAATCAAAAGTATGTCCTTTTATTTTTAATAGATAGCTAAACTGTAAAAAAAAAAAAGATTGTAATTTTTAATGGAAAAATGCTATGAAAATGCTAAAGCCAGAATTTGTAAAATTGTAAATGATTTAACATCACATATGTAATTCTACTGTAAAATATAGTCAAATATATAGTTTTTTGGAAGTGAAACTATGAATGACAAAATAGTTTATGGTGTAAAACAGTAAAACTGCTTGATGCATCACATATGATCATATTTTGTATAAATGATTTTGTTATCGGTAATGTACTTTAAGATGTTTGTATCACATTTTTAGTCCTTTAGTTAATCTTTATTGCATAAAATATCACAGTATCACAGTCACAGTGTTTTATGGTGAATGTCTGGCAATCACAGCTGCTTGTTTTTTTTTTTTACCTTAAATTTAACAGAATACTTTTTTTTCACAGGGCAGGTTTTATTACTATCTTCTAGTGTAACTATATTCTAGTCTTGCAGTGTCCATGTGAGCACCATAGTTGAAATGTTAGAACAAATATACCTCGGATCTGACTTTGTTGTCTTAATTCAAGTGCCTAAAAGGTCATTTTTAGGTGTGTAATTGTGTGCTTGCAAATGTTAGTGCTGAGTTTATCTATACCTATTTCTCTTTTCTATATCTATTTTAAACTGTACTCAGTGTTGTATGTGTGTTTGTATGCTTTAGGTGCTGTACAGTGGATCAGCACAGGAGCGGAGTTACACGGCAGGAGGACTGAAGGCCTATGTGGAGTACAGTTTTACTGTAACTGTGTGCAACAGACAGGGCTGCGTGAGCAGTCCACCTGCATCAAGCCGAACTCTGCCTTCCGGTCAGTACTATCCCTATAATCTACATCCAGTGTACCGTACAAGCAGCCTTTGATGTTAAAGAGCAGGTCATATGGTATTTTAAAGTGTCCTAATATCGTGTTGGAGTCCCCTAAAACAGATTTTAAATGCATACAAAATAAATAAATAAATGCAACATTGTAATTTTCTCAGAATATACATTTAATATTAGATGATGATTTCGAAATGATTCGTTCCAAGCAAGTTCGGAGCAAACCCCTCCCTTCCATAAGACTACTCTGCTTTGATTGGTCAGCTGGCCAAGCCTGTTGTGATTGGCACAGAGAGGATTCCTTGAGCAAGTTAGCGAGCACTACGAAGATGTTTGAAGAACGCCAGACAAAAGACGCTCTGTGTCTTTAAAATTTAATCAGAACACAGAACAGCTGTATCACAGGCGCACCAGCCTAACTAACGTTAACTCGCTCGTCTCTCCCACATTAATCATATAACTGCCGGTGAGCAAAATATTTTGTGAAAAAAATTTTCACAATGATTATAAAGTCTGTGTGCTACACTACATTCTTTATTATTAAACAAAGTAATTATTAGAACAACGTCAGTCCACATTAATCGACACATTCTTAGGAAATAGTGGGTTCACAGCGAATTATCATAACTACTTCAGTAAGCCTAATATCGTGCTTTACCTGGAAACCTAAAGCTGCACTAGGTATACATCACATATTAGCACAAAAACTTGATATTTTGAGCACTCAATTGAAAATGTACACATAACGTATCAATCGTACTTACAGGTTGTGCTTCTGAGAGCTTGTTAGTCCAAATTAAGAAGATTAGAAGCCAACGAAGATAAAAGCCAAGATTAGATGAGCAGTCCTTGGAAAAATGACATGCACACAACAAAAGGTTTGAATTGTATTTCTGTTGTATCCTTGAACACAGCGTCTTCTCAACATGATGTAAACACACTAACTAGCAGAAGTGTTTGTGGGCAGGTCAGACTTGTGGGCAAGTGGGGATTATGCAAATGTGTTACCCAGTGACGTATACCGGTAACAGGCAAAAGATTCGAAAATATGACGACTCATTAAGCAAATTCAGAATCGACTCTCTCTTTTGAGAGACAATATCTTTATGTATCATGCACTTTTTTGATTAACAACTTTGCAGATTGTTTTTCAAGGATGGCTACGTTATAAACTGCAAAAGAGATATTTTTCAAAAACCCATATGACCTGCTCTTTAAGTTTTTATAACAGGTCTACATTCTGAATCTTTGCTGCGGATTTTCTTCGCTCTTATTTATGTTCAGATGTTTACTGTTTGGTTTAAAATTTTCTTCCAGCGATGCTGCATCATCCCTGATACAAGATCCAATTCAAATTATAATAACCAATCCCAACTGTTAAAATTCACGGTTTATAATGGAGTACGCACACAGCATGCGTGTGTGAGCACTCAACATCCAATTACGCGTTGAGCACTCTGATATATGTTGTAGTTGAAAGGAGAAAAATATGATAATTCTTATGTTAATATTAATGAAGTGCCTTTAATGGAAAGTGTCTGTCATTGCTCATAGTCAGTTTGTTGAATAGGTCTCCCTCAGTGAAGGCCGGGACAGACCACCTTTAATTGTGCATGTAAACCCATCGGTGAACTGGAGCACATATGGTCTGCCCTGCTCTCAATTGAGAGAGGAAGTCCTTTATCTCAAAGGAATACAAACTAAAGATATTTTAGATTCACTCTCAGGTTATCTCTATTATTTTCTTACTTTAAAACTGATGAATTTTGAACAGTCAAGCAGTCAGAGGAAGGAAGGTTCGTTCCTTGCGCAATTACTGAAAGTGTGTCATCATCAAGAACACCATTTTATTTTTTATCAGGCTTTTCTTCTTTCTCTCTGTCTGTCTCTCTCTCACTCTCTTTTTTTCTCACTCTTGCTGCCACCTTTTATATAGTGACTATTATTTTTTACTCGTATATAAAATATAATATTTTTAAATTTTTTGTTTTGTTTTGAGGATCCAGATTTTGCACAGTAACAAAAGTGTACAAAATACATTGTTTAAAAACAGTTCTTAAGATTTAACACTTATCAGTATTACAGTGAACTGCATATGTTTAGCAATTATAAGTGATATAAACTGAATGTGAAAATTGACAATTTTGTAAATGCATAAATAGTAGATGTGTGATCCTCCAGCATAACACATAGATAAACAGGCAAAATCTTGTATTAAGCAGTTAAAAACCCTCGTGTTATACTACGTATTTGTAGAATAAATTAAACCGGCTCGTCTTACCCTGGATATGTATTCTCAGCTTAGCCTTTGCAGATTTGTCCTTTTCTTAATTGTATAGGAAGGCAGTGTACTTCCTGACAATGTCCAGCCTCATTTCCCACTTCATTTTTTCCCCATTGCCTTTATTTTGCCATTTACACATCGGCTCACGTGATGACTTAATGAGTTAAACCAACCCCTCAGTCAGGATTCTTCTCTCTGTTTCTTACTACTTCATTTGTGGCCCAAGCCGAGAAATTCATTGTGCGGCAGTAAAAACAATTTACTGTTAATTACAAGGAGAAAAATGTGCCGTAGCGCTCTTCCCGATTGCCATGAATCACCGCACACTCCCGGAGATTTATAAGAAATATGTAAGTAGGATGAATTAGCAGGGTTTAATAACAGAGGCACAAATCATGCAGCCTTCAAGGGCCTTTAATTGATACAGTGGAATGTGATGGGCATGAATCAGTCAGGCTTGCAGCGTCGCTGTAACATATGGTCAGCTCAATATGCTGCAGCCGATGGAGCTGCCGATGTCATCGGCTCTTCCATATGGTAGGAGACTTTTAATGCTTTGCTTCTGTTTATAGGGTTATTACTGAAGGATTTTTTGTCAGTATAGGGTATCGGTTGGTATACTTAAGGACATAAACGAATATTTGCTTTGATTTTTTTGATGTTTGAGTGGGCTTGTGCTTCCGTTTCATTGTGTGTGTGTGTGTGTGTGTGTGTGTTACAATTGTGTTGCTTTTTTCTTTATTTTTCATATCAAAGCTCATTTTACGACCACTTAAGATGAATTTGCAGTGTCACCAATTAATTAAAATTCTGCTCCCACACAAGCTGCTCTTAACGCCCTTACACACCTCCTGTATGTCTGAACAAACAGCACGCTGACTAACCCAGCACAACCTGTTGTCTGGACCACTCAAGACTATGTCTCCCTCAAGCCTTGTTTTCACCCACTTCTCTGCCAGGATTTAATGTTGATGATTGCAATTTATTTGAGCCTTACCTCCATTTTATGACTGTCTGTATACACAATGCGCATCACTATTACATCAATGCACTATTAGACAGAATTACCATCTGTTCAAACTGAGAAGTCAGCATCTGCTTTCTCTGAGTGGAATGACATCAAATTGCTTTAAATAGCACACCACTGAAATGAACGGAGACACTTAAGTTATTTATACAGTGAGTATAGAAAAGCATCACCCCCCTTTAAAATCACATTTTGTTGATTTGCAGCCTGAAATAAAGATGGACACAGTTTTTGTTTTATCCAGCTGTATTTACTCAGTGCAACTTATAACATCCAAATGAAAGATATAACACCAACATGTCTGAAAAAAATAAAAAAACCAGAATCACTTAGTCAATATCTTCATAGCAGAATGGTTAAACTGTAGATTAATGTTTCTCGTAGCTATAGAACACAGTAGTGAAAATAAACAGTTTGTTTCCAATAATTTGAACTTTGAATCAGATTTGTCTTTTAATTCACATTATTTAAGGCAATATTTAATTGTTTTTGATTTATCTTTACTAATATGCACTGCAATGTCAGTTCCCTTTCAAGGGAACTTCAAACTGCGTCCTCTAGGGGTCGCTATGGGGACGCCTCGTCGTGACCCGTGTCTGAAGCATACATTGAAAAAACACCAACAACACTTTGGTTGGCAACAGCCCATGACGTCACTACCGGTGCGACTATAGTATAAATAGGCGCCGGGAGAACACATCATCCTCTTCTTCATCTTCATTGACTGTTTTGTTTGAAGCGTGCATTTGAATGTGGTAAGAGCGATCTACTATCTATTATTATGGCGAGCACTAGCAGAACGTTTAGAGGGTGTGTCGTTGCTATTTGACACCTGATGACACACACGATCTCTGCGTTTTTTGTTTGGGCGAGGAGCACGCACGCGACGTGCTTGAGGGGGCGATTTGCATGAGTTGTGAGCATTTTTCGATGAAAAAGCTCTTCTCTCGTTTGTCTCTTTTTTCGAGGAAAGAGGGGCAGCCATCT